ACACACACACACACGCATGCACACTCGTACTCACAAGGTGCACACAGCTGCACACAGCCACAGGCACAGGGCCCAACCAGTCCCAGTTTCCTAGGCCAGGGACAAACTTTGGAGGGAGGGGCTGGTGTGTGGGAGGAGGACTAGAGTTGCTGATTCCAGGGGACTCTAGCAGTCTGGGCTCTCTTCAAAGAACCCCGTGGCAAATCTGGGCCCTGTCCTGCCAGGAACGGTTCATCTCAGCCTCATGACAGTACCCTGAAGCAATCACCCAGGAGAGAGAGAAATCCGAGAAGAATCTCACTTGGGCCTCTCCAGGGCAGACCAGCCAGGGACTCGGCCCAGCAGTCCAGCCTTAGCTGCTGATCTGCCAAATGGCTCAGGGTGGAGGATTCTGGTGAACGTTACCAAAAAGGTGCCCTTGTTAATACAGCAGAGTAGCCCTGGGGTGAGACCCATCTTTCTCCTGAGTGAATTTCTATTGCTTCAATTCAATATACATTAACCAGGCGCCAAGTTGAGGGGATTGCAGAAATGAGAAGCAGGGAGTCTCTGTCCCCTGGTACTCGGGCCTCACGGTCTAGTAGAGGGCTAACTTCGGCGCCCTGGGAACACACAGGGTCAGCCTCCAGCTACTGGTCCTACTAATCTTTCATCTTCTTTATCGGATAGTGTGCCATGAGACAGGGACAGATCAAGACAGGACCTTGGGGATCAGACAGGGTGAAGAGAGGTTGGCTGATTTTGCATATGGGGCTGCCATTCCTGGTGGCATGTTGACCATCTGGTTCCAGCCAGCTGTGACTAGAGGCCGGATCTTATCAACACTCTATCCCCCCCCTTAGCCCCAATCAGTGGCCCCCTCCCAGGCCTGGCCCCCAATTCCTTCCCCTTTCAATGAGTCTCTTTCCCAGGTTCCTTGGGTGAGATTAACTCCTTCTTTACCCCCTCTGGGGCAGAGAAGTTGGAGGCCAGAGGATTAAAGAGTTGAATCCATATCCTTTCCCGCAGGGTCTCCAGGCTCCCATCTGGCCCAGGTTCCAAGTGGGAGCAGCTGGGAGGGCGGGTAGAGAAATGCAGCCTGATTTCAGGGACACTCCAAGCTCACTTTCTCCTCTCCCCCTGTTCCTAGCTGCAAAGGGATGGGTGCCTGCATTTTCCTGGAAGACCCAGGGAAGTTCTGGGAACACTGAGAGACTTGAATTTGTTCTTAATCCATTATTTGTATTCACTGCAGAGCCACCTATTTTGACCTGAACTGAGCCCAACAGTCCTGCACCGCACTTGGGTCCCTTTTGGTAAATAAAGATAGTCACTGAAGAAGTTTGACACGGCTGAAGGTTAACCATTTCCATCCAACCTGGCTTTCAAGCGATAACGAAAGCCGTTCTGCTACCTGCACAGACGTCTATTAGCAAGATATACAGCAGCGAGCAGGCCCCGAAAAGTTCCTCCCGTGTGTCCTGGGAGAGCAGTGAGGCCCCAGCTCTGGGTCCTACTGGGTGTCCTCACCGCCATTTTGCAGACCACCCAGGTTCCAGAGGCCAGGGACTGTGAACCTTGCAGCTGGCACGGGGCAACCAGAAATCCCAGGATGTTAATCATTGCCTGGGTGTAGAGCATAGCCTGGCAGGATTTTTATACTCTGTTCATCCAAGGCTGGGGATCATCTCTAAAATATTTTAGTCAATCTATGTTTTCTCCTTTTTTTTTATTGTGGTAAATATATAGGAAACAAGACATTTGCCATTTCAATAATCTTCACATGTACAGTTCAGTAACGTGTTCATCTTGTTGTTCAACCATCACCATGCCTGGATTTTTCCTTAACAGAAGCTCAGTGTCACCTAAGCATTGTGTCTTCTGTTCCCCCTCCTTCCTGCCTGCCCCTGGTTACCACTAATAAACTTTGGTCTCTATATACTTGCCTATTCTTGATATTTCGTATAAATGGTATCATATAATATTCGTACATTTGTGACTGACTTATTTCACTCAGTATGTTTTCAAGAGAGCCAATCTATTTTTAACTTCACCCAAGAGAGCTTATTTTAAAGAAAATTACAGGTATCCTAGTATAGTCCATGGAAACCCTGGTGGCATAGTGGTTAAGTGCTATGGCTGCTAATCAAAAGATCAGTAGCTCGAATCCACCAGGCGTTCCTTGGAAACTCTATGAGGCAGTTCTACTCTGTCCCATAAGGTCGCTATGAGTTGGAATCGACTTGACGGCAATGGGTTTGGTTTTTTTTTTTTGGTAGTATAGCCCTACATTTCTATATTGCTTAACAGATCCCAAACCCCTAAATGTTAAAAAGGGTTGGAAATTTTTATTCGGGGGTATGGTAGTATGGTCCATGGGCTCAAGACAGCATTGGTTCAAATTCTGGCTCTGTCAGTTATGAGCTGAATGACTTTGGCCAAGTTACTTCACCTCCTTATGCTTCAGTTTCCTTAGCTGTAAAGGGAAGCTAATGAGAATATCTACCTTCTAGTATTGTTGCACTGATTAAAAAAGATAATATAAAAAACTCACTGCTGTTGAGTCGATTCCAACTCATAGTGACCCTATAGGACAGAACAGAACTGCCCTGAAGAGTTTCCAAGCCTGTAAATCTTTACAGAAGCAGACTGCCACATCTTTCTCCCACAGAGAGGCTGGTGGGTTCCAACTGCCCATCTTTTGGTTAGCAGCTGAGTGCTTTAACCAGGGCTCCTTAAAAGAGATAATAAATATGTGTAAAATGCATAGGACATTTGGAACAATGTCTAGTGCTCGATACTGTAATCCTCAAGAGAAACACCAACTCGGTAATCATTCCACATTCCCGTAGAGTAAAGGTCACCCAAGGCTCGCAGGCTATGTCTTATCTTCTTCTCCAGCCTCCACTTCTGTATCTCCCCAGTGCACCTCAAGGCTTCTGTCCTGCTTGTGTTCATTTCTCTATCTTTGCACTCACTTCATGTCTGGCCTAGCCTCCCTGTTGTGCTCCTACCTTCTGTTCCTGGCAAGCTCCTACTCGAAGGACATCAACTGGGGGCCCAAGGATACGTTTTACTTGTTTGTTTTTCAAACGGAATTAATTCCCTAAATTTACAAGTCAGGAAATTTCTCATTAAAAAATCCAGAATTTGCAATTCCCCTGACAAGTGAAGAAAAGATAGGCATAGTAACGCTGGGTTCCACATTTCTGCATGGCAACAAGAGACAAAGAGCTGAGAAGCTCTTCTTTTGGGGAGTGTGCATGCTCTGGTTTGCCACAGTGTCCACCACTCCATCTCCTCTCAAACTGACTGCTTTACCCGTAGACACATTCGGCCTGGTTCCTGCAGGTATTTGAGTTTGGGACCCTTGCTTTAAAACTCAGTTTCCCTATAGATTTAATGACTCTATGAAAGATCCTTTTGTCTGGGGTTTCTTTTGCCCTGTGAGTCTGTCCTGGACCCTCTAAAATTTTCTATGCAATTTGCAAACTAGAGCAATCCCTCTTTCAGTGTGTTTGCAAACCACAAAGCTGATGGAGAGAGGGTCAGGGTTGAGGGGTACAGGGGATAGTGTGAGGGGGAGAGTGGGAAGAGGGCCCTAGGGTGAAGCTTGGCCTGGGTGGGGGATGGGAGTGCAGGGTGGGGAGCAGAGGGGACAGACTCCTACCAGGAGGGCTTGCCAGATGCTGCAGAAGATTTCTGACCAACCCTCCCTCCAGACAGTGGATACTAGCTTGGAAGCCTTTTGCTCTGGATGCAGACTCATCTCCTGATTTTGGTCTCCCTCACTTCTGATCAACTTTAGGTAGCCTCCCCTACTTTGGGGTTGGGGAAAGAGTCTTTATCTCACCTTGTTCTTCCTTCTCTCTTCCCTTGCCACGGGTTCTGAAGAGGTTACCAGATGGGGCAAAGTGAATTTCTATGGGAGTCTGCCCATGGCAGCTCCTCAGTGGCTACCCCATTCCTTGCTTCCTCCTCTAGTTGCAACTTCCTGCCCCTACATGGACTTAAATAAACTTCCTTGTCCATGGAGGGCAGAAAAACCAGGCAAGGCATGTAAGAGTCTGAGGACGGAAATGTATCCCTGCTTTTACCACATGGTGAGTCATACACTCATTCCTCTAGATGCAGATTCCTCTCTATGCCTAATTCATCCATCAGCTTACTCATTCACTCAACAACCATCCGTAGATCACCTACTATATGCCAGACACTTGCACATGCAAGGGGCCTTGGTGGCACAGTGGTTAAGAGTTTGGCTGCTAACCAAAAGGTTGGCAGTTCGAATCTACCAGCTGCTCCTTGGAACGTTATGGGGTAGTTTTACTCTATATACAGGGTCACTATGAGTCAGAATTGACTTGATGGCTTTTTAATGGCTGTAACTGTGGGTAAGACATTTACCTTGTGGGTCTCAGTTTCCTCATAGATTTAATGACTCATTTTCCCCACAGATTTAATAACTCTATGAAAGATCCTTTTGTCTGGGGTTTCTTTTGCCCTGTGAGTCTGTCCTGGACCCTCTAAAATTTTCTATGCAATTTGCAAACTAGAGCAATCCCTCTTTCACTGTGTCTGCAAACCACAAAGCTGATGGAGAGAGGGTCAGGGTTGAGGGGTACAGGGGATGGTGTGAGGGGGAGAGTGGGAAGAGGGCCCTAGGGCGAAGCTTGGCCTGGGTGGGGGATGGGAGTGCAGGGTGGGGGAGCAGAGGGGACAGACTCCTACCAGGAGGGCTTGCCAGATGCTGTGACCATCCAGCGAAATCTCACACCCTCCTTCCCCCCACCCTCCCTGGCTCCAGCTTAGGCTGGATTTCAATCTGCATAATTTGCCCCATAGAGAGGGGATGGGAGAGAGTGAGAACAGGAGGGTGAGAGAACTGAGGAGGGGGTGCCCCAAAGGGTAGGCATGAGACAGCGGCCAGGGGAAACCTCAGGGGCTGGGACAGAAGCTGGGGAAAAGGTGGCTGGCAGTCAGAGGGAGGAGGTGGGGCCAGGAGGAGAGCAGCAAGCTGCAATCCCCAGATAACATTCTGCCCAGTACAGCAGGGGTCAATTTGGTCCACTTCGGCCAGTGACAAGAAGGAAAAAAACAAGTGGGCTGTAACTTAGAGATCTTAAGACTCACAAGTGAGGGCTTGGTCTGAAGGTGGGAGGAGGGAGTGATGAGTCAAGAGGAGACAGAGACTCAGGAGGGTGCAAGGAAGTGTCTTGGCTGGGCTGGAGGCAAGGGAGGGTGGAGGGAAGCCTGCAGATGGGAGGCATCCTCAGGGGTCCCACAATAGAGAGGGAGCTCCTCCTGCTGCAGGGAAGGGCTCTGTCCACTCAAAGGCACCTTCAGCCCTTTCCCAGTCTCTGAGGCTCCAGCTAGAAGCTCAGAGTGCTTGCTGAATTGGTGACACAGCCCCCGAGCTGGTACCTCCGGGGCCCCCTGCCCGTCTTCTCTCCACTCCCCAGCATGGAGGAAGGTGGCGATTTCGACAACTACTACGGGGCAGACAACCAGTCCGAGTGTGAGTACACGGACTGGAAGTCCTCTGGGGCCCTCATCCCTGCCATCTACACGCTGGTCTTCCTCCTGGGCACCACAGGCAATGGCCTGGTCCTCTGGACTGTGTTTCGGAGCAGCCGGGAGAAGAGGCGCTCGGCTGACATCTTCATTGCCAGCCTGGCAGTGGCTGACCTGACCTTTGTGGTGACTCTGCCACTGTGGGCCACCTACACCTACCGGGACTACGACTGGCCCTTTGGCACCTTCGCCTGCAAGCTCAGCAGCTACCTCATTTTTGTCAACATGTATGCCAGTGTCTTCTGCCTCACCGGCCTCAGCTTCGACCGTTACCTGGCCATCGTGAGGCCCGTGGCCAACGCACGGCTGAGGCTGCGGGTCAGCGGGGCCGTGGCCACGGCTGTCCTGTGGGTGCTGGCCGCCCTCCTGGCCATGCCGGCCATGATCTTCCGCTCCACCGACAACCTCGAGAACAACACCAAGGTGCAGTGCTACATGGACTACTCCTTGGTGGCGACCTCGAGCTCAGAGTGGGCCTGGGACGTGGGCCTGGGAGTCTCGTCCACCGCCGTGGGCTTTGTGGTGCCCTTCATCATCATGCTGACCTGCTATTTCTTCATCGCCCAGACCATCGCCAGCCACTTCCGCAAGGAGCGCATCGAGGGCCTGCGGAAGAGGCGCCGGCTGCTCAGCATCATCGTGGTGCTGGTGGTCACCTTCGCCCTGTGCTGGATGCCCTACCACCTGGTGAAGACGCTCTACATGCTGGGCAGCCTGCTGCACTGGCCCTGCGATTTCGACCTCTTCCTCATGAATGTCTTCCCCTACTGCACCTGCATCAGCTACGTCAACAGCTGCCTCAACCCCTTCCTCTACGCCTTCTTCGATCCCCGTTTCCGCCAGACCTGTACCTCCATGCTCTGCTGGGGCCACAGCAGGTGTGGGGGCGCCTCCCACAGCAGCAGTGGGGAGAAGTCGGCCAGCTACTCCTCGGGGCACAGCCAGGGGCCCAGCCCCAACCTGGGGAAGGGTGGGAAGCAGACTCACGAGAAGTCCATCCCCTACAGCCAGGAGACTCTTGTGGTTGACTAGGGCTGGGATCCCGGAGCAGCCCGAGCCCTCTGCCTTGCCCCAGCCTTTGCCCTTGCTCTCTGAAAATCAGGTAGAGTGACCGAGCCTTCTTTCTTGCCCTTTACTCTTTTGCTTTCTCCCTGCACTCCAACTCCCTTTGGTGCTGCTCTTACTCAGTTACTCTCTTCCCAGAGGTTTAGGTTATAGTGGAAGAAGACCGAACCTCCAGATCCAAGCTTGGTTTCTGTAAGACTGACCTTGCATAACCTCTTTGCTTCTCCGAGCCTCAGTCTCTCCATTTGTAAAAAGTAGGGGTGGTAATATTCATCCTAAAATGTTGATGTGTGAGTCCTTCGCTCAATAAAAGTTAACTTCCCTCCATCCTTTTTCTTGGGACCCAGTACTCTTTCTGATTTTCCCTTGCCTCTTCCTCTCTCTCCTCTTTCCTCTCCCTCTGTCTGCAATCTTTACTCTTAGTCCCTACCTTCTGCCTCTGATTCCCCCTCCCAGAGCTTGTCCCCATCCCTTAGTCCCTCCTTCTCTCCTTTTTACTTCTTCCTTCTGAAGGCTCCTAAGGGTTAAGAATCCAGAAGCTTGCAAGCTCTTTATTGTTCCCAGACAGAGTTAGGAAATGGACTGTGGTGGGTGTGGGCTGTGTGCCAGCTGGGAGCTCCAGAACTTCCCCTAAAATTGGATCAATTCAGTGTCATTTCAGGCTTCAGGGCTACGGCAATATCCAGTTCCTTCTCAGAAAGTCACTTTCTTTCTTGTAGCCCGCCTAAAATGCCGGTTAGATATGCTTTCTGCAAATTTCCTGGGACCCTTTCATTTATCCTGTATTTTCTGTAGAGATTGGAAGGCAATGGGGCTGATGAAGCTGTGGGCTCCTTGGTTTCATTATATGAATAGGGATTTGGGAAGGGAGAAGGGAAAGTAGAGAAAGTGGGGCTCAAGGAGTCTGGGTTTAGTCCATATGCTGCTTGGTTCCCCTCTCCCAATCCTGGTCCCTCTGAACCTCCTTCAGACTGCAAGCTGTGGGTCGATCCCCTGACTCCCCACCTCAACCCATCACCTTGGGCTGGTTTACTTGGGCGCTGGTGCTACTTGGTACCAAGAGTCACTTTGGTTGGGGTGGGGATGCTTTCTCTTTGTGTGTATATATAAGCATGGATATTCACAGTCAGAAGAGCAGTGTACTGGTGTCACTTGGATAAACCTCCTCCCACTCCTCACTCTCCACCTCATCTCTCCTCTTTGCACAGTATCCTTGAGGGAAGAAGGGACATATCGAGGCAATATAGGATAAAACTGAGTCCACTCCCCGCTGGATTTGGGGGCTCTAACGGCTGGTCCGTGTTTTAAGAGAGAAGTCTATGTTTGCGCCAGGATCCCTACTGGGAGATCTCTCCCAACAGGGTCTGGTGGCCAAGGCTTGGGGAATTCCTATGAGCTGGGTCCCTGTTCATTCCCTAATTCTATGAGGGAAATAGGAGTCTGGTTAAAAGCTTCCCTGGCCCCTTTCTCATGCCTCCCCACCTTGCTTTGAGCTTATGAGCATTTCCCTCCTCACTCTTCCTTTCCCAGGGTCAGTGGTCCTATTCCTAAGGAGAACATGGAATACTAGGCACTGGGTGGGTTTGGACTCACCGTTAGGATGGGACCTCTTGGCTTCTCCTGCTGAGTTGGGGTCTGGGAACAGGGACTGGGCAGCAGTGGGGCAGGTGGGGGGTGGCTGAAGGATGACATCCATGCTGCAGGAGAAACTTTGAGGAAGAAACTGATGGTGGACCCTTTATGAGATGGGAGCGGGGTGTATATTCCGGGTTTTGTTCTTGGAAGACTCTGGACACAAAGGACAAGAACCATGGACGCAGGAAAAGCCCAGCTTGATGTAAATGGACATCATGAGTGTCCCTGGGTTAGAGCCAGAAAGAGAAGGGAAGGGGTTCCTCTCAGCATAGTCTACCCCATCACAGACTAGAATCTTCCACAGACTCGCTTACTCTGCCCAGGACGGTCCTCAAAGCATCCAGTCAGGGCAGGAGGAAGCTTCTAGAAGAGAAGAACGTGCCCTTCTGGGGCCCTGCTGGGTGACCTACAGAGACTTCCTGCCTGGAATTCAGTGGGTGCTGGGGAGAGAAGATAGAGAACGCTGCCTGCTGTGATGCTCCCTCATCTCCCCACCTCCTGCCCCTTCTTCAGCATGTGTGTGAGGTTTTCTGACCCTGTTAGTCATTGTGGTTCATCAAATAAATCTGTTTTGTGAAACTATTGTGCCCAAAGCCTCCTCTCACAAAATTGTCTTGGGAAAGGAAAATAGCCTCAGTTTGCAAATGCCACAGTGGGATGGAGGTAGGGTGAAAATGGTTGAAGGGAGAAGGGGGAGCTAGAAGGAGGGGGTGAAGCTGGAAGTTGGAAGGGAAGTGGGAGAGGTGAGAAGATGGAGGAAACAGACACCAGGAAAGGATAAGGAGCTGGATCAGGGAGGGCAAAGGAATAAAGGACTCGGGAGTGGCCAAGTTTTATGTTCTGAAAAACCACAGAATGAACTCTTGTGCTTGGTGTCCAGAGCACAAGCCTGAGGGAAAATACCAACATTTCTTCCCATTGGGTAGGCCTATTAGTTTCATCATTCATTCATTAGTTCATTCATTCATTTCTTTGTTCATTCAGCATCCCCTGTCTCAGTCATCTAGTGCTGCTCTAACAGAAGTACCACAAGGATGGTTGTCACAGAGAGAAATTTATTGTCTTCACAGTCCTGTGGGCTACAAGTCCAAATTCAGGGCATCAGCTCCAGGAAAAGGTTCTCTCTCTCTGTTGGCTCTGGAGAAAGGTCCTTGTGATGCCTCAGTCTTTCCTTGGTCTGGGAGCATCTCAGCACAGGAACCTCAGGTCCAAAGGATGTGCTCTGCTCCCAGCACTGCTTTCTTGGCAGTGTGATGTTCCCATGTGTCTCTGCTCACTTCTCTCTTTTATATCTCAAAAGAGATTGCATTAAGACACTAATCTGTCAACCTCATCAGTATAACCTCTTCACAGTGATAGAATTTACAACACATGAGGAGATCACATATAATCTCATCATCGTGGTGGAGTTTACAACACATAAGGAAATCAAGTCAGATAACAATCATACAATACTGGGAATCATGACCTAGCCAAGTTGCTACACACATTTTTTGGGGCACACAATTCAATCCATGACATCCCCTATTGACTCATTCAAGGTCCCTGGGTGGCACAAATGGTTTGCTTTTGGCTACTAACCTAAGGGTTGGTGGTTCAAATCCACCTGCTGGTGCCACAGAAGAAAGGCCTGGCCATCTGCTTCTGTAAAGATTATAGCCAAGAAAACCCTATGGGGCAGTTCTATTGTAACACATGGGGTTGCCATGAGTTGGAATTGACTCAAGAGCAATGGGTTTGGTTTAGGTATTGACTCATTCATTCATTAATTTATATGGAGTGAGCACCTGCCCAGTTTAGACCAGAAGTGTGAATCCTTGCTCTCCCATCAGAGTCGTCCTAGATGTTTTTGAAGATTAAAAAAAAAAAAAAAAAAAAAAAAAAACCCACTCCTAATGTCATCCCAGAACTTTGGAATGAGAATCCCCTGTTCTGGCTCCAGATGTTCAGCATTACGAAAAGCCCTATCCAAAGACTTGTAGGCCAAGTTTGGGGACATCTCCATCCAGATAGATTCTGCCCAAATTAAAGTGGGCACCAGAAACTAGAGGGTCAGTCAGAGCTGGAGAGAACTGGGCCCTGGATGGTGACCTATTTGGAGCAGGAAGGGGCTGCAGTAACCCTGGGCAGCGGGGGCGGAATGTTCAGTCCAGAGGTATTGTCCATCTTCAACAAAGACTAACACTTGCAGATGGCACAGAGCAATCACCCTAGCGGAACCGATAGTAATGAGAGAGCTAATGTTTATTGAGCTTTACCACTGTGCTAAGCATTTTCCAAACATTACCTCATTTAGTCCTTGTAGCTGACCTCTGAGGGGCATTTTTACCTCATTTTGCTGATAAGGAAACTGAGGCACAGAAAGGTTAGTTAGGGTCCTTGACCAAGGCCACACAACTAGTACATGCAAGAGCCAGGCCTGGAACCAGCTGAGTCTGTCTAACCCAAAGCCCTCACTCTTTATCCCTGTATGGTGATGCTTCTCCCAAAGAACAAATGAGGTGGCACAGTGGTTAGGAAGAAGAGAGAGATCTCATCCAGGCCTGGTACAGTGCCTGGAGCAGGGAGGGTGTTCAGTGACCAGGGGCTGGGGGAGGATGGGGTAGGAGAACCAAAAAAACCAAACCCATTGCCGTGGAGTTGATTCTGACTAATAGTGACCCTATGGGACAGGGTAGAACAATCTTTTGGTTAGCAGCCGTAATGCTTAAACACTATGCCACCAGGGTTTCCAGGGTAGGAAAGGAATGATGGAAAATGGAAGTGTGTGTGTGTTTTTGTGTGTGAGAGAGAGAGACAGAGAGTGAGGAAAGACAGAGATCGAGGATAGAAACAGAGAGGCAGAAACAGTGAAAGAGAGAGACAGCAGAGAGACAGTAACAGAAAGAGTGCGAGGAGATAGGAATAGAGACAGAGAGAGACAGAGACGAGATGGGAAGAAGAAACTGGGAGGCAGGGAAGAAGAGGGAGGACAGGGTCTCAGCGTTTGTTTTCACTCTTCTGAAACACACCAGGGAAAACCCTGAAGGAATTTACAACTGTAACAACAAGTTATTTGAGCTGTTTTTTTTTTTTCACAGATGTTGTAAAAAAACCTCACCAGCTCTCCTGGGAAATTTCAGGTAAGTTATCCAAAAAATTGTAAGAGTAGAGGGACTTACTCAATAATCTATTTATTCATGCATTTCTTCTCCCCCTCACTCCCTCTTGTTCATTCAACACGTCATTATTCACTGTGTGTCAAACACAGTGCTGAGCACTGAGGACCAAGTGGTGAAGGAGACCCAGTGGGCTCCCAGGCTGGTGGTGGAGACCGACAGCCAAGTGAGTGTTTAGAATCAAGTGTGGTAAGTGCTGAGGGAAAGAATGTACAAAGTGCTTTGAGGGCTCATAATGGAGACAATGGCACCAGTCTTGGTAGGGCGTCAGGGAGACTCTTGAGAGACAGTGTGTGCCAGGAGCCTGCTCTCTGCGGGGTGAGGATGGGTATTTAGCGAGGAGCATGTTCTCAGTAGAAGGCATACCCGAAGACACTAGAGAGCACAGCCCTTCAGAGGACTTGGAAAGGGTTTTTGTGCTTGTTTTTGCTACCTCTCCTACCCTGGTTCTGGGCGGTAGGCCAGTCAGAGACACAGAGAAAACCTTGCCCAGGTCTCATAATGTGGAGGATGAGCAGATTGGAGGCTAGGACTAGAATCTGGGTCTCTGGACAACTTGGGGGGACAAGGATTATTTTTTTTTTCCTTTTTGATGACTTCCAGTGTTTTCTTTCCCTGGGATTGAGTTGTTTTCCTCTAAGATCCCTTCCAGGGTCTCCTAACCAGGGGCTGGGAGTTCTCCGACCTCTCACTCTGGGCATTTTTAAAAAAATTCATAGAATAACTTGTTAATTGATTAAAATAGTAATCATTTCTTCCAGAAGGAGAAAAAGATTGGCCAAAATCTTTGGCTAAGGATAATGCAGACATTTTCTCCTCTGTGTCTCTGAGCTAGAATGTACTATTGTCAAAATATTTACTGCTTCTTCCTATCGGGCCCCTACTTGTTGATGTCATTAGCTGCCGTAGAGTCAGCCCCTCCACCCCCGACTCATGGGGACCCCATGCACAAGGGAAGGAAAAGCTGCCCCATTCTGCACCATCCCTGTGTCCCTGTGCTTGGTTGCAGATCAAACCCTTGTGCTCCATAGGGCTCTCATTGGCTGATTTTTGGAAACCGATCACCAGCTCTCTCTTCCTAAGTCTGCCTTCATCTGGAAGCTCCACTGAGAGCTGTTCAGCATGATAGCAACACACAGCCTTCACTGACAGATGAGTGGTGGCTATGCCTGAAGTGCATTGGTCATGAATTGAACTGGGGTCTCCCACGTGATGTTGTTGTTGTTAGATACTGTTGAGTCAGTTCTGACTCATAGCCACCCTATAGGACAGAGCAGAACTGCCCTTTAGGGTTTCCAAGGAGCGGCTGGTAGATTTGAACTGCCAACCTTTTGGTTAGCAGCCAAGCTCTTAACCATTGTACCACCACGGTCTCTCACATGGAGGGTAAGAATTCTATCACTGAACCACCACTGCCCTCAGCCCTTACTTACTAGAGAACTGGACCTCCCATCCCATTGCAATGTGACTGGCATTGACCAATTAAGGGAGTGGAAGAACCATCATGAGTTTTCTGTACTGTGCTTGTGTGTCTGTCAGGAGACAACATGATTCAGCAGATAGCGGCAGCTTCTTAGGCAAGGGTCTCAAAATAAAGAGGAGAGAGACTAGAGCCACAGTTGGACCACAGCGTCCTTTCAAGCCTACAACAAATCAGCTTGTATTGTTTCAAGTCATTGAGATCTGGCAGTTGTTTGTTACTGTAGTGTGACTTAGAATTAGCTGACAGATACTTACTCTGGGCTTTTCCGAAAAGGACGCTAGGAAGAGGCAGACAGATCCTTTGGGAAGATCACTCCCAGAGCTAGGATGACACCCAGACTGACAGCATCTGGAGGTGATGGGGCCACTGTCCAAGCCGGTACCACCCATGCGAACTGCAGGGAAGCCAAGCCTGCAGAGCTAACCCCGTGGTGCACTCTTCTCTTTGTCATTTCTTCATTGACCAGATGCTTCTAAAGTTACCACAAGGAGTGACAAAGTGGGAGATAGACGCAAAGATGGCTCAGGGAGCTTAACTTAAATCAAATGCACAAGAAAGGAGGTTCTGGGATGTTGGGCCGCCTCTAGAAGTTTCAGTTTATAAGTAGAATCTTAGATTATCAGAGCAATGTTCATTTATTTATTCGTTCAACAAACTTTTATTCAGTGCCTGCTGTGTGCCCGACACTGTCTTAGGTGCTAGGGATACTGCGTTGAACCACCCACCATCCTTGTTTTCATGGAGCAACTTGAAGAGCCTTCTAGTCCTATCTCCCCATCGAACAGATGGGTAAACTGAGGCCTATGGAGGAGGAACAATTTATGCAAGGTCATGTAGTGGGATGGTGGCAGGGGTGGGGCTAGAACCCAGGTTCCTCACAGCCAAGAGAGCCTGTTCTGTGGCTCCAGCCTTAGAAAGGAGAAACATTTTTCTCTTATGGAGAATATGAAGA